GAAGAGCGGATATTGCGCCGGAAGAACAGCGTTTCGCATTAATCGAAAGGGAAGCTTCACGCTCGTACGCGGCTAATTACATAATAATCTCGTTGTACGTGGATAATCGTACAATACAACGGATCCTGCGAGTCATTAATCTTGTATAATAAATTAACGTTGATCATTCTGACGAAGGTATATCATGTTATACAGAGTGTACTCGAAAAATAATAGCTCTTGATTGCTACGGGGTTATAAGCGCGATACAAGAGACGCTCGCTTGGATTACTAGAGGAGGGGAGGGGAAGGGGGATTAAGAAATTCCTTATTTTTTGAAAATGCAACACCTCCGAGCGATCCTCTTTCCTTTTTCTCCTCCTCTCTCTCCTACATTCTCGATATTACAAAAAAATGAGGTATATATACCGACATCGACGCTCGCACGAGGTGATACATGGCATAAAATGCTAATAAAGTCCTCGTCGTAAAGTGCAGACACCTTGTACGTTGTCTGGAATACAAGCACGCGGACAACGTTGTGGTAAAAACGAAGCGCTTTAAAATGTCGAAAGAAAAAAAAAAGAAAAAAAAGAACAGAATGAGGGAAAATCGATCGGTGGTCCACACCTATCGGCTTTATAATTTCGGTCCTAAACGTCGGCACCTCGTTAAAAAACGTGATGCCGATGGATAATTTTGTGATTAAATAGATGAGGTTCCCGAGACCAATCGGCGAGATTGCGGTTCGACGAGAGTCGTCTTCTCTTTTTTTCAAAACTTCGCGCGTTCGCCGAAATCATTTTACTTTCTGACGATACTCGCCGTCGAATCTTAGTCGTCGGAATGTCGGAACTTTTAATGAAGATCGTTATCTTCTAATTAAAAGTGATGTGTAAATCTCATGCTCTGCCGATTTCTAGAAAAAAAAAGATAGACTGTAACGCTCTAGGAACGATGGAACTTTTGATGCTATATTCTTGCTTATGGAGAAGGTTTGGCACAAACCCGAACATTTCTAAAACTAACTCTGAAACTTTGCAGAAATAAAATACGTACAAATCTAATCACATAGCAATTTTCTGTTTTGGTTGATAAACGATTTTAAGGTGAAAATGCTCCTTTAAAGAAAATCTCATTTTCTATATTTTAGAAACTACATATAAGAGGAACTATAACTATTAAAAAATATTATATACAAACGCTTATGATTTTGTCATAATGACCTGCACCAATACGATAAGAAATTTTTTTAATTTTGTTTACACAGTTGGAAAAAATATGTTAAATTTAACATAAATCCCATGTCCCAAATGGTCCACTCAAATTTTTTAGTTAATTTTACACAAGATGAATTTGTTAGAAGGTAACACAAATATTATGTAAGAGAATAAATACAAAGAAAGATAACATCGACACAGTTTGTAAAAAAACCGTGGGAACATTTTTTTTTCAGAAAATTAACATTTATATGTTAAATTAATACATGTTTCATTCATTTGTCTTAGAATTTACGTTTTAAAACATTATTTTTATGTTACTTGTTCTCTTACTCATAAATTTTGTCATTTTGACACTAAGGCCCGATTTCACAATATATAGTTACCTAAAGATTAAAGGTAACCAAGAAATTCATGAATGAATTTCATTGATGAATCTGTTGGTAACCTTTAATCTTTAGGTAATCATATATTGTGAAAACGAACCTAAGAAACATTGAATATCAACTTCACAAAAAATCTTCAAATAACATGATCACATTACGTTGTATTAACACTCGAATATGTTAAAAAAATTCAACACAAACTGTTAACACAAATGTGAGTGAATCGTTTCCAACACAAATACACAAATTTTTTTACTGTGTATGTTTTCCTTGTAATCTTTTTAATCTAAAAAAATTTATGGTTTAATAATAACTAAGTAACCAAATAAAGTGTCTTATCAATTATTTATAATCATGTATGAATTGGAGATTATAATTTTTCGAAACGCGTGAAATTAATCCTTAATGTCCGAAATAATATTAGAGAGTAAACATTGAAAAATAAACATTGAAAAATACAACAATAACAGATAATAGATATTCGAGATAAGTAATGTTACAAGTTATTTGATTTAATTTTATTGTACGATACCAACAGTATAATAAAGTAACGTTTAATATGAATTAAAACATGAGATAATTTTCATAGCACGCAAATTAATGTTTATTTTTCCGAGCGTATTTACTTCATAACTATACTAAATGATTAAAGAAATGGTAGAAAAATATTAAAATAATTTTTTAATCTCATATTGTGTTCTAAACCATAAAAAACCGCGAACTTTTATATTTCATGGGAGAGTTGTTGAATATGTACAGATCGTTCATATTGTACCCTCAATCAACATTTTATATTGTTAGTTAATATGCAATTTTATGACAAAAATGTGAAAAATCTGAAATGAGAAATACGTAATATAGATAAAAATTTAACAGTTACATCCTGTTTTATGTGTGTTAACAACACGTAAAAAATTCAATACTGATGTAATAATGTAAGATAATTTTTTAAAAGATTTTTGATCAATTTATATAACTTATAATAATACAATCGTGCAATTTTATTCTAAATTTTTATATTTTCATAAAAGAAGGTTTATTTTATTAAATTTATAATATTACTATAATATTTTAATTTATAATATCAACATTTACATTAGTAGAGTATTTTACATTCATTACACATTGCGTATACATATTTGCAATTATTATACAGATTAAATCGACATTTTTTTAAATCTATCTAGTTTCTTAAGTCTACTACAAATTTTATTACAATAAATGATATTAAAACTGATAATTGGTAATAGTAAAATTAATAATAAAATATAAATAAAAATAGCATATAAATGTATAAAAATAGCATAAATTAATCAATCATATTAGCTTTGTTATGCAAGCAATAAAATCGATAGTTTGTGTTATATTTATCACTCAATACCAACTTGTATCAAACACGAATGTGTGACTCCCAGCATACCATCGATGCGCATTCCTCGCTTTCGCTGGCGCTTATGCATCAACGTAAGTCGCGTGGAATATGCTGCCTTAAACGTCTGCTCGTAATAAGGCTCAATAATGCGGGCATAATGTAACAATAACCTGCTTCGAACAATGCCGGCGCAACAATGCCGTCCGCTTAACACGTGCGTTTACGCCCATTGATTTCATTCAGAGAAGTGTAGCCAGTGCCAGACCAAAGTCAGTAAATTCAATGTCGCCGTCGATGCACTGCAAGTGCGTAATTACGGAAATCCTTGCACTGCACTTCGGAGAAATCGAGACAGCGAGAAATGATTTTATTCCAATTTAACAGCGCGGAAGCGTAACCGCGCACGTTTACAAACTGTTGTGAATTTAGTAGGAAATGTAATTTCTCTCTCAGAAGATACCGCTTCAATATTTGTCATTGTGTGCGTATGTACGTGCTTCTAGCTATTGAAAAGTTAATAGTTATTTTTAAAAAGTTTTTTTAAAAATATAACTCACGTTTATTATTTTCATAATTCTTATATCGCGATAACGTAGATAATTGTTTGATGTTATATCGGATTATATTATTATAGTATTATATCGGATTTTCTAGTACTGGTAGCGAATCAGTTTGAATTTAAATCAAATCGAATCACAGTGGATTCGATTCGATTCGTTTTCGAATTTGAGAGATTCGAAACAGAATTTGACACGAATATAATTAATTTTTTGAA